CACAAGACCCTATCTATAGTGATCTCCTCAAGAGAGTTAAGGAAACCCCAAAGTCTGAACCAGACTACCGCACTACTGATGGCTTATTATTCGAGAAGACTAATGTAGTTGACCGCCTGTGCATTCCCAACAGTGAAGAAATCCGTAGTTTGATCTTAGGGGAATGCCATGACACAGAGGGACAATTTGGTTGGCAAAAGACACTGGCCAACCTCATGCGCGCCTACGTCTGGCCTGGTATGAAGGCCGACTGCATAGAATATGTTCGCAGTTGTAAAGTCTGTTAGAGAAACAAGACTACTACGCGAGCCCCTCTTGGTCTTCTCAGACCCTTGCCTATTCCTGACAAACCCGAAGATGCTGTGTCCATTGACTTTATGGATACTCATGTCAAGAGTAGGCATGGCAAAAGTTAAGTCATGGTTATAGTTGATAGATTTAGCAAGTATGCAGTTTTTGTTCCTCTGCTTGCAGAGGCACAAACAGATTTAGTACATAATTTTTTGATCACTGGGTCAGTGAGCATGGTATACCGTTGTCGATAGTTAGTGACAGAGATACCAGGTTCACAAGTCAGAACTGGCAGGAACTAATGAAAATTTATGGTTCCAAGTTGTTGATGTCATCTGGCCGTCATCCAGAGACTAACGGTCAGGCCGAACAGATGAACAAGCTCCTGCAACAAATTCTTAGGATGTACATTAAGCCCGATCAGATCAATTGGGATGAGATGCTCCCAAAAGTAGCCAATGCATACAATAACAGCGTGCACTTATCTACATGTCGCACTCCCAATGATAAGTCCTTTAGATCACGCAGACCATTTGAAGGACTTAATCGGGATCAGATTCAGAGACTATCGGCCGGTACCCGAGAGTTTGCGATACAACACGAGAAAGAGATAGCTACCGTTCTAGATAACCTCAGGAAAGCCCAACACTGAATGATAGAGCAAGCTAATAAGCATCATCCCCCCCTCGCAGTTTCAAGTAGGCGACTCAGTCTGGGTCAAGTTAAAAGAATTCGCTCCTGAGGAGAACATCTCACAGAAATTACTGCCTGCGTATAGAGGACCGTGGCCAGTCTTAGAAGTCAAGGGCGGAGAGGATGGGCCGTCCTATACCATTGAGATTCCAGCACACCTCCACACCTACCAAGTGTTCCATGCGTCAAAGTTGTTGCCTTGCATCACAAGTCAACAGTTTCCGTCAGGCAGATCTATGATTCCTCCAGATATGGATGGAAGATATGACATTGAAGGGATAGTAGGTGAGGATGTCTTGAGGACAAGAGGTAGAGGTCGTCCCCAGAAACAGTACAAAGTCAGATTTGCCCTTAAAGAGCCAAAAGACGACCGCTGGTTCACCCGAACAGAACTTCTAGAGACAGCTCCCGATATCGTCCGAGCCTATGAAAGAGATAAGAAGGGTAAAGGTCCTGCCTTAGACTAAAATAATCTCAGAGGACCTCGAATTTAGGCTTGCAGGAGTGAAACGGTTTTCACCTTTCTGCAGTCACAGATGCGGCCCTGGAGTTCGATCCCCAGACCTCACTTTGCCCATGTACAGTATCGAGTTGACCCCCGAGTGTTTGAACCCATGGCCTATGTTTTGGTAGTTGTTGTCGTCTGTCCTAGGTCTGTGTAGCGGTAGGGGTTCGATCTGTAGGTTTGTCGATTAGGAGTCACAGCTCTGTCGGGGTCGTAGCTGTAGGCGTTCCGAAAGGTCAAGGTCGTAGCTGCTATAGTCCTGAAAGGTCAAGGTCGTAGCTGCTACAATACTCGAAAGGCCAAGTCCACGAACTTCCGGAAGGTCCGGAAGTGGCCTTTCGAAATTGCCTCACGTTTAGTCAGACGCAAGTGGGCAAGTGGTGAGCCCAACTGCGTTACGTCGGCAGTGCGACTGCATCGAGTTGGCAGTGCAAACCCATGCAGTCAGTGGTACCGGTCCAGCCAGTCCCAGTCCAGTCAAGCAAGTACCATGAGCAACTGTGTGCACCATGCCCCGGTGGAAAGGGGGCAGACCAATGTCTTACAGAAGTATAAATCAAGAGGCAGCACCCAGCCATTCATTGATTCGCTGCATAAGCCATGCGGAAGCGCTGCTACATCATCTTGTGCGAAGGCGGTCTGCAGGTGGCCCGAAGACGGAGTGGGCTGAAGGAGCTAGAGCGCTCATAGTGGTAGTGAAAAGCGGTCATAGCCGCCGTATGTTAGGGATAGCTGAGAGTGTGTGTGTGAGATACAGAGTGTGTGTGCGTGTGGGAGTATTCAGGGTGATCCAGAGTTGAGTAAGGGCGAACAGTGGTGTTGAACGCAGTGACGAGAGTTGGGCTTTGTAGGCGCTGATGCGCCATGGCTTGTTGAAGCGAGATTTCGCATCTGAACTGTGTTCTCGATTGTCATATCTCTGAGCTTTGAGTGAGCGCTGTGTGCCAGTGTGAATCACCAACTGTTTGCATGTATGCGAAGTGAAAAGAAAGCGAGTCTGATTGCAGAAAAATAAAACGAAATCTGCAAAAAAAGAAGCGAGTGAAAGTCCGAAAAAAAACTTCAATCAATCAATCAAATAACATGGACTTCCAGTCAGGAGTAACCTGATTAATCAGAGAAAGGAAAAAGTTGTGGATCTTGGGAAGAAAATCCCGCTACTACTCAATCAACTAATCATTCAATCAACCAATCAACCAACTAATCAATCAATCAATCGATTAACCAATTGATTAAGCAATCAACTAATGAATCAAGCAGATCACCTTGATTGATCGGTGTATGCACTGATTGATCAGTGGTCCCAACCAATCAACTTTCTCCGCTGATCAATCGCTTCAGGTCAGTCCTACTTCACTCTGGATCGCTCCGATACCAAACTGATGCATGCTCATCTGAAGATGAGTGGTGCAGATGTCCAAGGAGCGCCAGTGTGATAAACAGGACTCAAAACAAAACGAGATAATGCAATGTAGCTCAGCAGAAGACTCAAAGATATGACCTGACACATCAGATCTGAAAGCGACTCACACAATCATCATCACACATGTCACACAGCAAGGAGGGAAATTATACACAGAAGGAAGATCCCTCCATGCGCACACACATGGGGAGAAACCACGAATGATGAAGTGGGAGGAGAGACGAAGATGGAGAGGGGAAATAGGACAAGAGTAGAACCCGTAGTCGTCCAAGAAATAGTCTCCCCATCAAATGTCCAACCAATAGTCAATGCCTGAAATCTCTCTCTCTCTCTCTCTCTCTCTCTCTCTCTCTCTCTCTCTCTCTCTCTCTGTGTGTGTGTCACTACTCGAGGCGTTCCTACCTCGTACCGCCTTCCAATAGTGTAATCCCATCAACACACTACTAATCATCCACTCCCCTAACACCATCAAAAAAAAAATTGTCGTTTTGCCTGGATCATCAGCCTGCACTTAACCTGGGTTCGTTCTCTTAAGGACCCCGGTAGGCAGCCGAGATCCCCGGCAACGGCGCCACGTGTCGAGCGCATCGGTCCCGCACGAGGACCCTCCCGGCCGCGTCACGCAGGATTTGCAGGACTTGTCGCGGAGAGCGTTTGCAGCTCCGGCCGAGTGCACCAGCCGTACCTCTCGTGAGCCCCTACGACAGGACAGGGTCACGCCAGGCACCGCTTACCTCCACCTGCGGGAGCTGTCACCATCCCTTAGGTGGGCGTATCCCCGCCGAGCTACTGAACCACATGCGAAGGCTTTTCGTATGCAATCGCAGAGGTGGCCCAGCCGAGGGCGTTTCTCGTTCGTTGTAGCATAGGGGGCACGCGCGGTCAAACGCCCAAAGCCAAACCCGCACGCGAACCGACGCATTGGGGGGTTGAGGTCCCAAGCGCGACTTGGCGCCAGTCGACTAGGACGCATCACACACACCACGCGTTACACCACAACACTCACACACATACAAAAACAAAACAAGTTAACAATACTACAATACTCCTAGTCCCTTCAGTATCCGACCCATAACTTTCTGAAGCGAGAGTCAGATAGGCATCGCGCGCTGAACTTAGCATAAAAAGCTGGGCGGGCGCGTGGCCTTCTCATATTGACCAGCCATGCGTGCAGATGCGAGCGCTCGCACTGATGGGGTACCATGTGGTACCCGTTGTAGGGGCCGTACCCTGGAGGACTTTCGAGCCTCGGTCGACCCCACTGCGGGTCCCATTTGGCTTGGCCTGCCCACGCTCACGCTCAGTGCACGGGCCGTTCGTCCCAGGGGCACCCCCACCTAGTGCTTTGAGATGGATGGGGGTGGGCCATTCTGCGAGAGGGCTTTACATTGGGGGATGTAGCTCCGCTCTCGCGTCAAGATGGTAGCTTTTCGACACTCGTGGCGTTTTCTTGATTCATTAAGGTCTGACCAGGCAATTGCTCCTTCCAATACGCAGGCAGTCCAGGGAGTTCTTTGAGAGTTCGTCTTCTTTCCGTGTGTAGGCCAAGCGTCATCCGTTGGGCCACACACCTTTTCGCTAAGTCTAGTGGATCAAGACAGCCCCTACGGCATCCTTGGGGCGGGACGGCATCACCCGGACCCCTAACCGCTACATATTTTTTTGCTTGAGCCACTAGCGTTGCATTCACCTATCCAAGACTGCCCTTAGTCCTTCCGGGCTTGCATTGCATTCAAGAGAGCCATTGCATTCAATCATCACACGAACCACATCCAGGCGTCTACCACCCATCCAAGCATCCGACCATCAACCCCATCCTGCATTCATAGTTTATGCGAGGTCCAAGTCCTTTCCCTTATCCAATTCCGACGGATCCAGTCCCGCTCAACACCCATCCCAAGCTACTCACCTGCACAACACCACACAAGCATGGACCAAATACAATCCCCATTGGGGTCAACACACCGCCCCTTCCCGCAAGCCTAGGTTTCCTTTGCCCTTTGGTGTTGGTTGTCTTTCCCTTCCCTCAAACAAACCATGCCATCACCTTAGCCATGCAGTCGGGGAAGGTGTTTGAGTCAAACTGACCTCGTCCAAAAACAGCAGTCCCTTTCACGTCCACAATTGTTCTCAATAGTCTCGTATCTTTTCCTTCTTGGTGGCACAAGGGACCGGCAGCCCCCCCCTTGCCCTCACTTTCCACCAAGTGAGGACCAAGTTCCTTTCCGTTCGTTCCCTGGCAACGTAACAGGTGAGGGTAGAGGTTAGTCACATGCCATGGAGGGGAAGGGGTGACGAAAGGGTTAAGGGTAAAAGAGTTTTGAAGGAATGGAGGAGGACGGAGGGAGAGGGGGAGGGAAAGAGAGAGAGAGAGAGAGAGAGAGAGAGAGAGAGAGAGAGAGAGAGAGAGAGAGAGAGAGA